ACAGAACTAGCAAACAAGGCAAGAGAGCAGAGATCCAAATAAAAATCAGAGCAATGAGGCTGTTCTGCTTGAGTCCCAGCAAGTTCTCTAAATGGGCTGATGCTGAAATCCTGACCTTGTTTGCTCTTGGGCTGCCTGAGCTGCTGCCTACCCTGTAGCCAAGATGAATTAATTTGTGGCAGTCAAGCAACTTCCATGAAATCATAAAACAAGCCGAAAGCTGTTGGTGTGCTGTTGAGGAGGAGACAGGGAACCAACATGTAGGGATTTATGGCACAGCATACCAAGCTAGCACAACTATAATCTCAGGTTGTGTTGCCTAAAAAAGAGGCACATCAGGTACCTCATTCTGTTTTGTATTACCCTGAGCAGAAGTTGAGGGATTTAAATAGGCTCAAAGCATGTGCCAGTGAAGGGACAGTAACCAAGGAGACCAGATCTTTATTCCTTTAACGTTTCATCTCTTATACCAGGTAAGAAGCTGAACTGTGAAGTCTGCTTTTTGCAGACAGGTTTAGTTACAGTGGTGAGTTGTAGGTATAGATTTCCTTTCAGTCCTCAGAGCTCATCTTTGTGTCCTCCCTGGTCCTGTGTTGGTTTGCCTTGCTGTCACTTCACAGTTATGGTGACATTGCTAGAGTTAGAAAAACTGATTTAGAGGTGTGGTTCATGCTCATGGAGGGGATCCAGGGGAAAGCAGTTGTGCAAGACCTTAGTGGCTGCAAGAAACAGCAAGGCTAGCAGGAGACCTGGAAAGAGGCATAACCTGTGGCAGGAGCCTCTCATCACCATTCCCTTGAAGAAGGTCCACAGGTTGCTTGGGCAGCACATGGTGGTGAGGTTGGGATAGATACCTTATGCCATAGCGGGTCTGTGGGGCTGCAACAAGGACACATATCCATGCCAACATTGCCTTGCAGCAGGCTGCACATGAGGCCAGCTCCACTTTCTTCTTTCTGCTTTTGCAGGTCTTTTTTCTTCAGATGCTGCCTCCTTGGGACGGAACCGTTTCTCACAAAATCTCTGCAAGCGCTTTCCAAAACAACGAGTCCCTGTTAGGAGTCTTCACTTACTCCAGTACCAAAGTACAGGGGAACCACAAACAAGAACTGTAGTGTTGCAACACCACTGTGCTGTCACAAGCCATCTCAGCTAAAAATAAACTGCCAGGATACACTGGCAGCCTAAACAAGCTTCAGACTTTCTTTCACCAAATGCTGTAAGGAAGACGCCCTTCAAGAGCACTAACCCAGACAGGGCACAAGGAGCTTCAAATACTGCAGTGAGTTTCATTTTTTGCCTCTCTTCTGAGTGTTAAGTCCCCCCTGAACCCTCTCCTGCTCCTCTGTCCTCAGTAAGGAGGCTGGAGCCCCTGGGATATCTCCAGAAGCATTTCTATCTGAAGATTTTGTCCTTGCTCTCATCACTTCAGTATATACATGCGGCCCCAGGAGAGCAAATCCCCATGCGGGGACAGGAACAACCCTCACCTTTGCTTTTAGCTGAATTCAAGCGATCCGTGATCTCTGGTTTGTAGCTCACCTCTTCATGTTTTGCAGTGATATGCAAGATTTGCACAGCTTTACAGGGAGTGGGGAATCGGCCTTGTGGAAAACCACCCACAGGCAGACAAAGGCTGGCAACAAAGCCCAGCAAGCTGTTCTGTCTGAGCCGGGACTGCTCCATCTCCGGCTTCTGCCGGGACTGGCAATAGTTGAAAGCCGGGTTAGTTTTCTCAACTGATCTTGCTTTGGTCTTACCAGGTTATCTGAAGTTTAGCTCCCCCCCACTGCCCCTGTGTGTGCTGAATGGAGTGCGATACTTGCCCTGAGTCGCAGCCACATACCAGGCTGCCCACAGTACATCGTCCTGTTGCTTGTCAAGAGCCCCTCTAGGCAAGTTCCTCAGCTCCTCGCCTTTTAAGATGAGCTGGAGAGAGTAAAATGGTCCCATGATGGTCCTTAGGACACTTTCACGAGGTTGTCTAATGTGCATCAGATATGGTCCCCCTGCAGCAGCAGCTTCCCGTGAGACCAAGACAACAGACAACAGCTCCCAGCTTCCGAGGCCGCACCGTGTGTCTCATTTATACAAGATTTTCCTTCCCTCTCTCAATACTTTCTTTTCAGTGTTCTCCAGCTCTGTGAGAAAGCCAAAGAGGCTGGAAACAAAGCTGGAACTTTTTCCCCTCCTCTCCCCTAAATGCAGAGATGAGGTGCAGCCTCATGAGACCCACCAGCCTCTCCACAAAGTTGCCACTGGGCTCAGTGGGAAGCCTATGATCCACCTTTGATACCTCCTTGGTCCTGCCATACTGCAGATACTGGGATGCAATCCAGAAAGGTTTGGGTTTCACCAGTCCAAAATCAGTGAGGAGAACAGCACAGCTCCCTCACCAATCCCAGCTCCAGTGAATCCCCATGAACCCCATCAGCAGAGACATCCCCAGTGCCCCTTGCTGTGCCCAGGCATACATGGCCATGTCACCAATAGAAGCCATGCCTTTACCACCCGCTCTTCCTGCTTTGTGTCCAAAATAGCCACACTCGGGTGCTCAACCCACAGCATCGCTGAGCCATGCCTGGGAAGAAAACTCTTACCCTTTATCTTCTTTCTTTGCCTTTTGGCCTTTTAAAAAGACTGACTAAGTAAGGGAACAGGATGCTGGCAAGTGGAGATAAAAGCAGGCTGCAGGTGGTAAGGGACAATACCCTTCCTCTAGCATCAAGCAGTCATGGAGCTGGTGGGGCAGGTCAGGCTGCTTTTCCGTACCACCTGGACATGGAGAATCCCAGTTCAAGGAGAGGTGACGCTCAGTCCCCAGCTGGATCCCATGGCAGGCACTGCGAATACCATGTCCTCAAGGCTGGCTGCAGGTTTATGGGCTGGCTTGTGCTGATATGGTTCACAGAGTGGTGGAAGAGAAAACACACATTGGCTCCCACAGCTGCCCTCCTGTAGCATGTCTCCTTTACCAGTGCAGAGGAATGGTGGGAGATGCAACACTGGCAGAAGACGATGGTTCAGAACGGACACCCAGTTGATAGGAAAATTTTTACAATGTACCCAGTTTCAAGCAGGACCAAGTGCTGCAAAAGTTTTGATCCAGTGGTGCCAAATCACTTCCAGCTGAAAGCAAAGGTTCCTTTAATGCTCTCTCACTCAAGGCTAACCCTTGACTTAACCCAGCATGGCACCTCATTTGGACACAACTGAGGGAGGGCAAAGTGTTTTTAAGTGCACAGATCTCTGCTGCAGGGCTTTGGAGCTGTATATAGGATCGTTTGTGGCTTTGTGGAAACAGTTGATCACCTGAGTCCCTCTCAGAGCTCCTTGGTCAGAGAGCGTGGTGTGCAGAGCATGGGGCCAAACCACTTCCAAGCACTGCTCCCACCCAAATCACAGTTGGAGCAGGCACAGGCACAAGCTGAGCCAGTGTTAACCAAATGAGAAAGAGTTTTGACTGGCACCTAGTGAACATTGAGCAAGGGATGCACTTCAGATCCCTGTAACAAACAATTTCACCTTCAAAACCTCATGTATAGATTTGCTCATAAAAATTGCTAAAAAAAACCCAAGGCACAGGAATACTTGGGCAGGTCCATCTGTGACCAGCATGCTTCGAGTCTTGCTTCTTCAAGTTATTAGCAGGTATAAAAGAACATTAAAAATACCTCAGTCTGTTGGGGATTCGGGAGTGAAACCTTGCCCTGTCCGGATCAGGCCCTGAGAAAGGCAGAGGCGGTGGGGGTGAAGGAGCAGGCTCTGTTTCCCTGCATATGGCTGCCAAGCTGCAGCCAGCCCGAAAGGCAGAGGACAAGACTATAAAGCCACACGCAAGTGATTATGCCTTTCACTCACCTTCATTTGCTGATTGCAAGGCTGTGAATGAGGGAGGCTGACAGTAAAATTGAAGCAGCTGAAGGCTGTTGTTAGAGATGCAAAGCAGAGATGCAGTTTCCCAACCTCCCAGCTGGCCTGTTACACTCCGGTCCTCTGGGAACAGACTGAAACCTACTGCCTGACAGTGGTGGGCAGTGTGAAATCCTCGGTCCCTATGAGATAACAGAGATCAGGATGTGGCATCAGCAATGAACCTGGAAGAAAACAAAGCAACACCTGGAGCTGCAGCTCCCTGCCATGGGATGAATTATGCCTTGCTAGAGAGGGGCTGATGCTCAGAGTGTTAATTCATGCTAACAGGAACTTGGCCCCATGTATTTGAAGCCTCTGTACCAAATCCCTCATCATTGGCTGCAGATGTAGCAGCAGTGCATCAGCACGGAGGGATGAAACAGGGTCCTGGCCTGGGGCAAGGCTCCTTCAGCAGCAGAAAAAACAATCAGCTCAGGTTTGAGCAGAGCTCAACACCTCCCAGCTTGCCTATAGAAACACTGTGATACTGCAAACGCTCCTCGGGGTTTTGTATGTTTTCAGTCAGCAAATGCTCAGTCTGACTTTCCCTGTTTCTTCATAAATGCTTAAACTTCTCCTGAAATGCCCTTGTAAAATCTTCCATTTTTAAACACAATCTGGAGGGTAAAAGAAAAAAAAAATAAAATGAAAAGAGGTGTGCAGCTGAGGCAGACAACATTGGCTGGCTATAGGATTTATGCTGCATCATTGCTATATTTGGCTCTTCCTAATATCAATGCCCACTGCGTTTTTAAGGCTGCATTAAAAAGATAAAAAAGGAACCAGACAATGACAGTTCAGGCCTAACTTTGGTACCGTTGCATTGGTCAAATATACAAAGCAGCTGCTCTATAGTCCAGAATCAATATTTTCACATCGGAGTGCTGCACAAAACACAAACCAGAGAACTGGGAAGATTTTGACAGGAATTTCTTTGGAAAGTCCTGGTTAGGCTCAGGCAGCTCTGGAGGCTGGGCTGGCAAGGAGTCAAGGCTGCAGGAAGCCTTTACAGGAGCTTTTTGCAGGGAAACATCCAAGTGTTTTACGGCTCTGCAGCTGTATGGGCCAAAGTGGAATTTGCTGGGTTACAGCTATTTTCCACTGAATGGACTGGGAGCTGTAGCTGCTGCTCTGTGGGATAAATTTGATCTTGTGGTGACTTGAATTTCCTCACATGAAGAAAAACATTTCCCTGCTAGTTTGTGTGTCCGAAAATACACTGAGAAGGGGAAAGTCATGTCAGATGGTGCAGCACAGATAGTAACCACATCACTTGCACCCTGTGTTATCCTCTTGGCTGACTGCACTGCTGAATAAATGATGCTGCAGGGGTGGTAAGTTGTGATGCCACTGCTTGGAGAGTAAATTACTGCTTTGAGAACAAAAGCAGCAAGGTTAGTTCATCAGATATAACTTGTTTCTGCTAGGAAGGAAAATCTCAAGCCAAAGAGCTTCTCTCCGCAAAAGCAAAATTTGTAAAATAATTCATGCCAGCAAGTTATTACTTTTCTGATCAAAGCATCTTTAAGATTAATAGAGAATCCCTCCGTATACAACATGTATATGCACATGAATGCCGTTTCTTAACCGCTGTCTAGCTCTAGGAGATAGGAAGGTGGAGCAGCAGTAAAAGCTGGATCCATCAAGATAGGAGCCAGCACAGCACACAGAGAGCTGACTTCTGAGGAGAAAAGAAATAAAAATTCAAATTATCAAGAAGAAAAGAACACTGAGATGTGAGGGATGCTCAGTGCCCTGCTGCGGGGCTGGGTTCGCCTCTCCTTTGAGATTATCTTTTATTAGTTCACTGTTGCAGGTTGAGATAAAGTCCTTGAAAACAAAACTGTAGTGACCTCTCAAACTCTAAGGAGTTTAGGCAATGTTTAAAAATAGGAGTTTAAAACTCCTGGCAATGGCCATGGTTTTCCAGGGTCCACTTTTATCTGGATGTCTATATGAGGAGGGACAGGTTTTCCAGCAGCTCCAAGCATCCTTGCCAGGGAGGGAAGACACCACTAAGTCAGGGACACAAAATGCCTCGAGTCCAGTGCTGACCACCACAGACTGCTACTGGAAGTCACGGTCCCATGAAGGTGACCCAGTGCCTTAGCCTGAGTGTGAGGCAGTGTGAGAAAGGCAGAAGCAAGCCCCAAGTACATTCCCAGATACTCTCCAGCAAAGTCAAGCAGCTCCTCTCCCCAGCCTGCAACACCACAGCACCTCCTGTTTATACACCCCATAACCTGTAATTGCCTTACTTGGAGCTTTAATCAGCTGCAGCATAAATACATGGGTGCAGTAAACTGCTTCTGGCAGGGGGGCAGCCTCTCCTTGCTCAGGCTTCCTGAGGGGAACAGGGGTGGGGCAAAAAGGGGCTGTATAGTTTAGCCAACACTATGGTGTATGGTGTTGGGGAAGAGTTGCAGCTCCTACATAAGACCCAAATTTGCTCCATACACCAGCCTCGCTAGCACACAGTACTGACCATACCCACCTGCCATCCCCATGGGTGGCTGGAAACTACCTGTGTGATTTTGCCTGGGTTAAGGCCACATCTGGAATTCCAGCATACTCTGCTGGGATGGCTTATGAGCAAGACAAGGCTCTCCATCCTCAGGAGAACAGCCACAAATTGTGCTCCTGAGGACCCCATCCCTCTTGCCCTGCAAAGGGGAGAAAAATGAGACACCAGGCATGTCCACATGCATGGTGTTTAGGTCCTTCTCAGGGTGGACTCTCACCTCGATACCAAACATATTTTGCTAGCAGAGCACACTGATGGGGCATCCAGGGTGCTGCGGAGGGCAGAAATGTCTCAGGAGAGACTTAACTGGGCAAAACACGTATATTCTGCAATCTGCCATCCACACCCATGGTTGGCTTCTTGGGCAACTCTGCCTGGTTTGCCCTATTCCTGTTCCAGAACAGTGGGGATTGATTTGCAGTCCAAGCTGATGGGGTGTTGAAGAGGCCATGCTGATTCAGTGAGTGCAGAGGGCTGTGATTCACACCGGAGGGTGCATTTCACTCAAGCCCTTGCTGCCTCACTCCCTGCCTGCCACGATGCCAAAGGTGCTGGCTCCACGGTGGGCAGCTACTGATCAACTGCTGGCCTCCCAGTCGGCAAGGTGATGCCATTGGGATCAGTGGTGTTTTGCACTAATAATCTGGATCTGCAAACCAGGAGTGAGAAGGAGAAGAGCACTACAGGAGCAGAGATGCCAACATGCAGGGTGGGTAGGCAGCTGCCAGAAACATGCTGGGTGCTGCAGCTAAATCCCCCGGGTTCAGTGAGGCAGAGCTCTTCACCAGAGCTGACATGCACTTTGGGAAGGCAGTGAGGATGCTGAGCCCAGCTAAGAGAGCCAGGATGGAAACCCTGGCACTCTGCAAACACAGAGCCTGGAAATATCTAGGGGATCAGGACACGAACCACGGTGTACCAGGAAGGGGGAAATGGGGGGGTAAAGTAGTAAAAAGCTCTGATAAGGGCCTTGTAATCAGGACAAATGGTGAGTGATTCAGCAGCAGCTGATCAAGGAAGGAGTAAAGTATATTTCTTGCAATGTTTAACTTGCTGACTGTGACGGCGCCACAGCCTCCGATGAAGCAAAGCAGCACATGCAGCGAGCAGGTAGCTTCCCCCATCACCATGGCACCCGCTCATCTGCTTCTTCCAAAAACCCTGGCATCTGTGGGCTTCCTGCAGCTGAAGAGATGCCTCCTCCTGTGGCAAGTGTGGGTCTGTCTTGCAGGACAGCAGCAGCACTTGGTACCAACCACCAGGCAGGAGGCCAGGACAAACAGCCAGGTTATTTGCTGTGTGTCCCAGTAGACAAACACCACTGGCAACCCACGTTACCTCGCGTGGGGATGTTGCAAGAAATGCAATCCCCTCCTTGCCAAGCCTTGTAACAGGGGCAAACAGCCAAGCTGCAACTAAATGTCCCGACAGCCTGTGTTATTTGCTCAGACGGGGCAGGTCTGCCTTTAGCCCTCATTTCACAGTGCTGGGGTGTGGTCCTCATGATGCTCACACCACCTCAGCTCTGGGCTCTGTGGCTGGGTCGGTGCCCAGCATAGGCATTGCCTTCTATTTCCTCCCTGAATCCCTGCAACAGGTAGTTAGGAGGGGGCTTGCTTGCTCTTTTCCCTGGGGAGGCACTGGGAGGTGTCATGAAATGATCCACATGGGACTTTGCTGGGCTTTGGAAAGCCAGAAAGCCAGTGATGCTCCAGGTCACGGGTGGACTTTCCATTGTCACCTCCAGGAACACAGGTTTGGAGTCCAGGCTGAGCACCCTCCTTCAGAAATTCAGACCTAGTGAAGGAGACCTAGAGCTGCAACGGAAGAAAGCATACAGGAAAAAAAAACAGCCCAACCCTAGCACCTCCCAAAACCATGACCCAAAGTTTACTTGTGAAAATCCAGGCTCTCACCCCATACATAAAACACACGCATGCTTCCTGCAGGCACCACCCTCGCACGGCGGTTGTTTCACAATGCCTGGCTGGCAAAAGAAATCTTCATCTTTCCGAGCAGAGATAGATACCAGCTGGAGGTCTCAAATGTGCGGGACCTCTATACCTTTAGCTCCTTTCCTCTTGGCTATCACAGATAGGCCACGGCTCAGAGGAAGTTCGGTGGGACACTTCTGCTGCCTATGGAAAACTAGCAATGCCCAGGGGAGAAAACAGCCAAAACATCCCCCGAAATGATGGTGGGTGGTATGAATCCCCACACCATGACATAGTGGAGATGGAGGAGGTTCCTTGGTTGCATTGGGTCTTTCCACAATCCCTGCATCTTTTCCACACATTGCACTGGGCGGCTGGGAAAGCCCAGCAGAAAGGTGCTGTGGCAGGATGGGCTGTGTGTGCCATGGGGCTGAAAGCTGTTCTGCTGGCGCAACATGGGGAAGAGTGGGAATAACTCCCTGTGCTGAGCGTGCCCATCTCCTTTCATGGGAGTAAGTGAGCATCTCTGGTGCCACTATGGTGCAGAGCTCTGCCTGCTCTCCCCACCAGTGACAGAGGGGGCTCTTGTCCAAGCCATCACCAAAGCTGGCATTTCAACACCACATCAACACTGCTCACACAAAACAGACCCACAGCAGACACATCCCTACCCAAATGGGCAGTGCTGTGCTTAACTGTGCAAGCTTGCAGCACTGACTGAGCACAGGAGTAGCTTGGCAAGCTGGATAAATGAAAAACAAACAACCCCCAAAACAAAACACAGGTACAAATAGTGATAAAATCAACTTTGCAGAGATCACAGTTATACTTTCTCCTTGGTATAGCACTGCTCCTTCCCAGCCAGGGTGCTGAAATGCCTCTGGAGGATCACAGATAGGCAAAAACACAAAAGGAGAAGGAGGAGGATAAACAATACAATACAAGGATAAACAATACAATACAAGACAATACAAAGATCATGTAGGTACTGAGTGAGGCATCCCTGCAGGCTGGCATGACTTAATGTGGATTTGCAAAGGCTTGTCCAGTGATTGACCAACCTGCAAGTGCCAAGGTGCAGCTGAACATGACCTGCCAACCAGACTAGTGAGAGATGGAAAGTCCCTTCAACACCTGCCATCACTGGCTAAGAAGTAGGGAAAAAACATAAAGCAGGGGATTTTACTCCCCTGGAAAACAGTTCATGGGACAAAAATGCATGGCCCTGCTTATGCTCAACTGTTTGAGCTTCCCCGTCAGCATAATTGGCGTTACAGCAGCCACCACCGGCCACAGTTCCTGCACCTGGTGATGCACAAAGAATGCTTCTTTGCAGCTGGGGTTCATCACTGTTGCTCCAGCCCCATACTTGCTACCCACTGCACCTGCCCAGCCATCTCCAGTGTCTTTGCCAGCAAAGAGGGAGGGCAGTGAGTGGGCTGTGGTGGGAGTTTGAGGATGTGTTACCAGTGCACTGGTCCGTACATGGGGAAAACACAAGGTTTTTGCCATAGGCTTCTTGCCACGGTGGTTGCTGCTAAATTGACTACACTGAGACTTTGTGCTCCATCTGGAGCCCCTTGCCCATGGGAAAACAGGTATTGAAACACTGAGGTCCTCCTGATAATGCCAACAGCTCTGGCAGCCCCCAGAGCCTGGTGAGAGTGGCTGCCCATGCCTCACACTGCCTGAGACCATCCAGTGCCTGCTCTGGCCACCACGATCACTTTTCCTGCCCGCCTTCACCCCAGCCCGCTGCTGGGGTTCGTCAGCAGCGCAAGAGCTGTGGCCCATTGCATCATCCTCGTTCCACCTCCCTGGGCAGGTCTCCATTAGCCCCAAACCTGGTAGCTTCCCCTGAGGGATCTTCACCAGCTGGCCCCAGCCGGCTGAGGGGAGCTGGGGCAATGCTTGTGCTGTGTCCCAGCAGATACCCAACGTTTTGAGTTGTTTCCTGGTCCCAGCCCATGCCAAAGCCAAGACCTTCCCAGTTCCTGGTGAGCAGCACCAGTTCCTGGTGTTCATCTGAGACAGGAGCACCCTCCCCTGTGCCAGTTCCTGCCTACTTGCAAAAACTTGCCTCAGAGGGACAGGGCAGATGGGTTTTGAAGTGTCTGGAAAGGGCTGTTACATGCACATATTCAGCTATACCCATTGCTAGCAAGACAGTTTTACTTGGGCTCCTAAAAAATGGAAAATGAAGGCAGAAGTGGAGCAATTAGCCTCTGAGGAAAGGATGGAGAGGTGAAGGTTTAAGGGCAGGGTGTTTCTCAGCAAAGTGGGTGCTGCCAGGAATACTGTGAGACAGAAGATGGTCCAGAAAAGTAGCTTCCCTTGGGCTGGAGAGCACCCAGAGACACTGCACCTTCTCCATGGCCACCCATTGCCTGTCTTCTGGGCTGGGAGGCATTGCAAAGCTCTCCATTTTCCTGGCCGCCTGCAGCAGGGAGGCTTGTGGCAGAGCTACAACACATCAGAGTCTTAAAAGCAGATGCAAACCCCCTCCATATAAAAATAAAGCCACCAAGAGCTTTCGGCCTGAAGGAGTCCACAGGCTCCTGTGGGGAATGGGCCGGTACCAGAACCAGATGAGGACCTTGGGAGCAGCACCTCAGGGGGTGCAGAGAGAGGTGGCGAAGCCATCGTTGGATCACACCCGCAATATTTTAGGCATTCCTTTGTGAGCTTTTCTATTTTTGACCTTCCGCCTAATCACATAAGCTGCTTTCTAGGGCAACTACAGCATGTGCAGCTTTCAGTGACTTCCTCCAAAAACAAGAGCGAGGAGTGCCAGCAGGGAGGTGCCAGAGCCACACTCACTTTGACATGATTTATTCACCTGGATGGTCCACTGGCTTCAAATAACACCAGGCAGGCACCTGGGCAAGCAGAGGGCTGGCAGTGCCTGGCTGGCATCTGCCACCGCTTCTTTTGCTGGCAACTAAGAAGCAAAAGATCTGTCAAAGAGGGTGAGCTGTTTGTTTACAACTCTCTCCACACAGCAGAGGCTGAACTTTAAATCCAAGTCACTCTCCACTCCACAATAAACAGTGGGTGTTGGGTTTTAAAGAGCATCTCACCATGACCTTGATGGCCCATTTTATTTGTGGTGGCATGGAAGGGAGCCCGAAGGTGAAATGGCTTACTTGGTAATACTTCAAGCTGATTACTACGGCCCATATATAGGGTGACCTGCATCTACTATCACTTAGCATGGTAATGACTAAGTACAGCATGTGGTCTAAATATCTCCCTAATGCTAAAGCTAAATGCATCTATAGCCCTAACCCTCTAATTGACTGATTCTAAATATGATAGATTAGCTTTCCATCTCATTATATGTATCTAATCAGGGGATGAGGGTGTGTATACCCCTGGACACATGGTTTTTCATTTCTACTGCCCTACAACAGCAATTAGAACAAAATTACTTGTCTACTTGGGTTTGTTGCAGGCTTATCTCGTACCCTATCTCAGAAAGCTGCCAGATTCACTTTATGATTTTAATAAAAATAAGCTGCAGAATCCTGCTTTCTGTGTGGACACCAAGACTTAGAAACATAAGTGTTGCTTGTGTGACCTTTGCCTGATGACCCTAAATTGTTGCAGGGCTCTCACTGCCTGTGGTCATTTCCCCATAAACAATTGGTTCATGGCTCATGGGCAGCAGTGACGAGCAGGAAAGTCTGGGAGCAAGCAGCAGGGGAAGGTCTTGGCACAAGAACCAGCTTAGGCTTCAGTTGCCCATTCTCAACCAGGATGCTCCTTTAGTAATTGCTTAAAAGAAGTTTCCTGATTCCAGCAACGCCTTTTCCTGCGGTCATCAAGCCCAGCTGCAAGGTCCTACACATCAGGCAGGTTCCACTCCCTTAGGAGCTGCTCACCACATCATCAGCCTAAGACACAAATGGGTGGAGAACTAAGGCAAAGTCCTTAAGTGACCTCATGTACACCATGCTGAGCGCTAGTAAGCTTGCTGCATTTAGGCTTTTACTCTAGGTCTGGGTAACTCCAGGCACCTCCTTGCTCATCATGCCTTGCCTCTGCCTAGGAACCAGTCTCCAAAGCAGGATGCTATTGGCCAGCTGCCTGTGTTGAACTCCAGTTCAACAGCCATTTATTAGTGCTCAGCAGTCCTTGGGATACACTTGTGCTCCATCAAAACAGAGCGACATCTATGGAGCCATGACAAAGGCCCAGACACCTTTATGGTCGCACTGGCTGGTCCAGACCAGTGCTGATAGGTCTATACATAGAAACAGAGTAATTCAGCACGGGGAGATGAGCCACATTATAATTTTGACATTTTCCACTCAAGTGTATCAGGCACTGATTGTAGTTTGGGGATTTTCCATCTCAGACAAATGACCAGGCTCCACCAGAACAGCTGACAGACAGCCCCATATTGCATTACATCATCTTCACCAGATTACCACCAGCACAGCTCCCCTCTGTGTGCGTGAGGGAAATGCCTGCCATGGGCAGGACACTCGGGGACATGGTCATTTGCTGAAGAGCAAAGAAAATTAGAGGAGTCAGGGCAACAGATTAGAGAAGGCATCCCAAGCTGGCAGGGGAAATTCTTGCTCATTAGCAGCAAAAACAAAAGACAGCCTTCAACTGCCAGGGTGTAATTTAGGTGCAGGCTCTACATGGCAATTTTCATGGGTCTGTAGGGAGCCCTGGTGAAACTTGGTGATGAAGGTTCCTGCAAGCAGAAGGATTTTGCTAAAGTCTAGGCCTAGGTGAGCAGGTTTAAAGGTCACATTTACCTTTTTTCCTCCAGTTAAAAATGAGTTTTAACCTACAAAGATTAGCATTTGAAAATTATCCCGTGACATATGGCTCACTTGGCCAGTTTCCTTAGGC